ACTCGTTATATGTGTTGAACAACCGGAATTCAAGTACAAATCAATCCTTTTTACTTGGCATTACGTTTTGCTCCGTAATTTATTTACACTAACAATAAAAACAAATATTTAAATTTAAAAAAAAACAATAAAAACAATACTTCCTCGTATAGTATATTCGATACGAGATGGTACATACTCGTTTGTCGGTACTAGCATGTCTTAAGCTACTCTAGTCATTTAGTCACATAGTACACTAAAATTGGGTCAAATAGTATTAAGCTACTCTATATATTAGGCAAATAGTTTCAGCCTCTAGAATGTATAATTTTAAATCTAAGTTATCAATCTTCTATCTCTTAAAAATGAATAAATGATATGGAGAGTTTGAATTGGCATTACCATACATGTAAAACACTACTTATTATTTTGAAAAGAAAATAATAAAATATTTAAATAAAAAATACCCAATTTTAGATAATGATTTTTTTACACATTTTTAAGTAAAAAAGTATCCGATAGTAAAATAGTTAAATAAAAAATACCAAATTTAGATAATTATTTTGATAAGAAAATAATAAAATATTTAAATAAAAAATACCCAAATTTTATACTTTACATATTTATTTTGAAAGAAAACACCCAATTTAATAATTTTTTTTTGTTTTTAAATATTTTTTTTATTATTTTTACTATACTTTTATTTATTAAGTTTAAATTTATTAAACTATTTCAGTAGTTATAACTAATAAAATATTTTAATAAAAAATATTTTTTAATAATTAAAATTAATATATCTAATTTTTTAGTTAGAAACCACTCAATATTTAAAGAAAATATTTTTGTACAAAACATTATATAAAAGTGGTAAAACTGGTGTGTTAAACATATCTACTTTTATCTGTATTTTTATCTGGATGATCACTTATTTATATTTACAATTTTTAATATATTTGTTTCACATCAGATCACCCTAATATTTTTTTTGCAAATTTTTGCATAACAAAAGTTAAATGTGGTTGACATATTTGTTTGTCAATGTATTTGTTTTATTTAAGATAATGATTTCACCATGTTGTATTTTAAGAAGAATCCATAGCAAGGAAAAAAACAGAATATAAAACATACAGGCACCATTATTTCTTTTGGAAATATACTCCGTGTCTGTAAACAGTGAACTGTAGCAATCAAACGGGTACAAGATGGAATAAAATTGAATATATACACTGATTCATTAAAAATATTGAAATTTAATTAAAGTTATTCCAAATATGCCAATGGACTCTGATGTGCTAATTAAAGTTAAAAATTATTATTTTTGAGGAATGTTCTTTATATTTCATAGGTTGCATCTTATAAATTGAAAATTTGAAAATGTTTCTTTAATAAAAATTTATCCAAGTTTATTTGTAATTTTTAAAAAATGTCTCATTTTTGTTAATATATAATTTAGAGACGTATCTCCATAAATTTTTTGAGATGTATTTAAAGATGTATGTTTAAAACACCGTATAAAGTCATTTAAAAAATATTGGGAGCAGGTTAATTGTGTACATATAAAATATTTTGGAGTTATATTTCGGATACACCCTTGAATGGTTTTAAGGCTGCAATGTTGGCCCGACAATTTAATTTTTTGAGTTCAAGTTATATTAAAGTAAAATCAAATTATACTAAAGTAAAATGAAAGTAAAAAATCACACATTAGTTAAAGTAAAATCAAAATGAATCAACCATACATAACTTGTATAAAAAATACAAAAAAGAATAAAACCAAACATAAACTCTTAAGTATCCTAACTCTCAGGCTTCTCCGTCTGTACTGCAAGACATTCTGAACTTCAACAATAATACATTATAAGAAAGCCAACTAGGCACTACCTTCCTTAAAAAGTCATGCAGTTATGCCCGATCTCGCTATATCCATAATACGACGTCAGACGCTGCTTACGTCTTAGGTGTGGTCATCCTAAGCCTCGAGTACCTCCTGATTAGATGACTTATGTGGTCTTCTAGGAGCGTTTGGTGTCATGATAAAGTGTGATACCTTATAAAACAATGTCATGTAGTCATCAATATAAGTCCATTATACATGAGATGGTGCCTTACAATACTTCTCTGGTACCAAATGACTCTTGAAATCCTCAAGTATCACATTAAGATCTCTGCGACAGCCGATGGAAAGAGCGAACACTGGGTGGTGTTTCAGAATAATCTGTACATACCCAAACTGGCGCATCACTCACTCGGGCAGATACGAATACATCATACCTGATCCACATGCCAACCATCTGGAGTATAACGGAATGAGGTCCAACTAACGTGTCTGGCGGTGACTGCCATATGGACAGAAGGCGGTGTCATCTGCTACATGACGTTCAAGATACATCCACAATGGCTTGATCACATTATTCCCTTTGTACGACACAAAGGTGACAACACGTGGCCAATCATTAGTGTAGGTAGACACATATTCTCACCTAATGATGCGAGGAAGTGGGAGATGATCCATCTCTAAAATTGGTTTAGATAAAATATTAATAACAAGTGTAACAAAATAGTTATGAAAATATTAATATCAATTGATTACCATAAGCAGCGTGCAACTTCCTTTCATTTTCTTTGTTTTCCAAAGATAACCCTTGCCCAACTTCGAGAATAGGTAGACCAAACATGTAGGCCCCATTTATACTTGTGAGTCGCCGTCAAGTCGATGAAGTATCTAAGGTTGACCACATCGATGTAGGTTGCACTTTTGTCCATAAACATGGATGTGCCAACTAGGAACTAGAGGTAACACCTCAATCAAAATTGATGGTATTAAACCTGCATATCATCGTCGACATCCACAACCATCTGCAGGTGGTATTTATTGAGTTTCCAAAACTTTAAATTTAGCATGAGCACCTCTGGTGTCAGCTACCTCATTTGCGGTCTCAATTGGGTCAGCTCCCAAATATGTAGCTAACATCTCGCTAGCTTTCTCTCGATCGATCCTTCTATGATACAAGAAGGTGGAAATATGACGTTTCTGAATGTCATCTCTTTGCAAATGCAGTCTGCATGCCATGATTTATGGTAGCGTACGCAACAACACATAAATAAGCAAGGGTAACAGATAACATTCTTGAACCACTCAGCATCGGGTTGTTCCAAATCCAATATCTTCTTTCTGTGGTTTACGAATTTTAAACATGGATGCTTCTGTAAAAAAACACTATCGGTTGCGATTAAGATTAGTTTAAAATATACAGATGTAATGCAAAGGTAAATAAATATACCTATTTTTCTCAGACAAGCTTATCAGCATGGTCTCAATATAGATTAAGTAAGGAGGTGTCGAATGAGCCTCCTGGATAATCTACAAGGGCATTAACATCGAGTTTTTTCTATGCTTTAGAGGCTTCAGGTGCTTCATCATCTCGAGACATGTGGCCTTGTGAAATAGAGGCCTGAGACAGACAATTACGAGAAGTAAACCCAGATGGTTGTGAACCTCGACCTTGTGAACCATCAAACGAGGTATCATTAACTTGTGGCTCCGTCCTCGGTTGTCCCACGTCTTACAGACGTGTGTCCCAACACACCTCTAAACTTAATTATATTCGGGCAGTTTTCAGCCATTCTACGTGTAATAAAATCAGAAAGTCACATTAAAATTCAACCAAAATGTTGCCAGACACAAATTAGGATATACATCTTCGAAAATAGCACAAAGAAAATTTAGAGATGCATCTCCGAATGAACTTGTGATTTTCAGTAATGACATAATTCTCATTGTTACCCTAACCTCCAACCAAATGGCAATGCATGTCTCTATCAGCTACCTATTTCGATTTTACTACTATCTAATGCAACTTAAATAAAATATGATACCTAAATCATCATTCAAATCTAAAAAAAAAGAAATGATATGAAAAATTTATCAAATTAGAGTTGTGGATGAGAAGATTGTATTGAGTGAGTAACTTTGCAGTAAATGAAGTAAAAATAGAATGAGTGAACTTGATGAAACTTACTAAAATTAGGTTTGGAAATGGTTTGCAGTAAAAGAGATCAAAGAAGATTTTTGTGTAAGTTTTCCGAAAATGAAGGAGGAAGAAAGAAGAGTTTGACGCGAGTTAATGTATACAATTCGTCTGAAGATAAATCTTCGTAACACCCATTGAATTTTGAATTAATGGTGTTTATGAAGATACATCTTCGAATTCGCCCTTATGTTATACGAAAATACATCTCTAGATAAAATTTTGGCGATTAGAGATACGTCTCCGAACGCTAGGGCAATTATGAAATTAAAAAAATGCCCATAATTTCTGGAGATATATCTCTGGACGCACCAAATACATGCATTTCATTCGTTTTTGAGTCAGACCTCCAAATTGTATGAATAAATTTATTTCAAAGATATATCTCTGAAAAATTTTCGAAAATATATTTTCGGAATCTGCAAATCATTGTATATTGAATTAGCAGATTCCGAAAATATATTTTCGAAAATTTTCTGTAGATATATTTTCAAAATAAATTTATTCATACGATTGGTGTCTGAGTCAAAAATGAATTAAATGCTTGTATTAGATGCATCCAGAAATATATCTCCAAAAACGGGAGCATAATAGAAAATCCAAATGGTACGTAAGAAATACATAGGGTGGAAAAAGAAATCCTTTATTTTTTAATTAAAAAATCCAAAATGTAGTCTATGGGTGCATCTCATCTATAATGGGCCAAAAAGTCCGAACGAAAAAAAGCCCAAACTAACAAAAAAAAGGCCCAATTCAGTTCTAATCGCTGACTTCATTATACTCTCACCGACGATTCTCCTCCTCTCCGCGCCCTTAGACTGAGATACGAATTTCAGCCTTCAACGGAATTTCAATTCAGCGCTGCGACTTTCTTCTTATTTGTTTGTTTCTGACTCATTGTTACTTCAGTTTCTGAATTCTCCATTATTTTTTGAATTTTCGAAACCGAATTTGAAGTTTCCGTTAACGTCGTGGAACAGTTTGCGGTTAGGAATGGACGGCGACGGCGAGGAGTTGACGGCGCAGGAGACCGCTTTGTATGATCGTCAGATTAGGGTTTGGGGAGCAGATGCTCAGAGAAGGTTTTCTACTTCTTTCTATTTTCTTAATCATTATCATTTTTAATTTCGTTTTGTTACTTTTAAGCTTTAACCTAATTTAATTTCTTAATTTATTCTTAGTTTATTTCACCATAAGATTTTTGTGATTTTGGTTGCATTATGAATTGTGGTGGTTATGGATTGTATATTTCTGCACAAATTTTGTTAATAATTTAAATTAAAATATAATTTGTAGTGTATTATTTCATTAGTGGTACATATAATGTAGTATCATATTATTTGTGCAGAAATATTATTTGTAGTATCATATAATATATGATAATTTAAATTAAAATATGTTTTTCATTATTACAAGATGTAAATGAATTGAACAAATGAATAAAGATCACCTAGGGAAACAGAGATGAGATAGGAGATCAAGTCCAAACTTAGAGAGTGAGAATGGGCCAAAAGAGATAAAATTTTATAATTTATGTTGTATTATTATATACATTATAAACCAATTTTTTTTTTTATATTTCTATAAACAATGTTATGTCACTATTAGCCGCGTATGTATCGGGGTTTTATCGCGCCAGCAACGGTGTTTCGGTGTAGTTATTTGAAACCGTTAAGAAAAACGGTATCTGCCGTTGCCTGTATCGCGGTATCAGACCTTTATTTAAAACCTTGGTTATGTCTAAGAATAGTGTTCTAAACAACTCTAATTAATGTATTGATTTTAGTTTTCTTTTGTGATTATGTTGTTTTTAGATTAAGCAAAGCTCATGTCTTAGTCTATGGGATTAAAGGAACTATATCCGAGGTATAATGGGTTTTATTTGATTTTTTGTTTTATTAATGCATTCTTATTTTTTCTCATAATGTGTAAGGAGTTTTGTTTTTCTTCTGGTTGGATAGTTTTGCAAAAATATTGTTCTGGCTGGAGTAGGTAGTCTTACCTTAATTGATGATCGACATGTCACTGAGGAAGTGCTTTCTTCAAATTTTCTAATTCCTCCTGATGAGAATGTGTATGGTGGAAAGACCATTGCTCAGCTTTGTTGTGATTCACTTAAAGATTTCAATCCTATGGTTCGTGTTTTTGTGGAAAAAGGTTCTTATTACCCTATCCCCTACTAATTTTTCTTCTACATTTATGTAGTATATGGTTTCTTTTTTATACAGTTTTTTTTTATCTGTCTATCGTTTGACTTGTCTTCAGGTGATTTGTCAAGTTTTGAAGTAGAATTCTTCAGCAAATTCGATGTTGTTGTTGTCAGCTGTTGCTCACGTTCAGCCAAAGTACTTTTGAAACTCCTATATTGATCTATATATCTCTTTAGCTTTATGTAGTACCCATGTTCTTTGCTACTTTACGGATATATTATACTAAAAGTTTTCTTTTCAGTTCTAACATTGTAATATTTTGCTGTAGAAACTAGCCAATGACAAATGCCGAAAAGCATCAAAACGTGTAGCATTTTATACCGTTGACTGTAGGGATTCTTCCGGTGAAATTTTCGTTGATTTGCAGGACTATAAATATTCTAAGGTATCACTCTTGTGGATCTAATTTGTCCCAGCATATCATCAACTTTTCTGATTTTTACTAATTGAGAATTATTCCCAATTGATCTCTTGTTACTGCTCATCACAGTTATTAACAGCGGCCGCTCCAGGTGCTATCCCGGGATTCTCTCCCGGTGCGGCAACCCTCCGCTACGGAGGAGCGGCGCGCATCCGAGTTTTGGATAGCGGCCGGGAAAGCTGGGATAGCAGGTTGCGGGAGCGGAGCGCCTCCTGGCCCGGAGCGGTTTCTGCTTTTAGGGCTTTTTTGGAGTGCAAAAAGACCTTTTAACCCTTAAAAAGTTTTAAAATTGGAAAATTTTTGTAGTCGTTCGTTCGTGTTTTCTCCTCTCATTCGTGTTTTTTCACCTTTCTCCATCGTGTTTCTTCTGTTGTTTTGCTTTTCTATTTTGTTCTCTATCCTGTTCTTCTCTATTCATTGTTTTTCTATTCCTGTTCGTTTTCAGATTGTTTTTTCTTTCATATCATTGTTTTTTTTCCGTTCTTTTAAAATATATTGATTCTGGGATTAATATAAGTAGATTATTCATATAATTCGTCCAAAAAGTTATTTAATATACATTAAATTTATATGTAGATTATTCATATAATTAGTCCAAAATGTTATCCAGCTATCCGCTATCCCGATATCCCAGTTTTGGGGTCAGCCGCCCACTCTGCTATGCGAGATTAATAACTCTGCTGCTCATATAATAACTAATAGTTACAGATAGCTATGACATGATTTGAATCTGTGACCAGTGTATATAAGAATGCGAGTCACCTCACAGGATTGTGCATTCTTCTGTCTCATTGTAAAGTTATAAATTTTTGCTTACAAGTGTGGGGAAGGATAGATATAATTTTCCCTCTAATTAGAATCTTAAAATCCATGCTACGTTCCCCAATCTTTGCCTAGACACTCGATTTGTAAAACACCGCCCAATACATTTTGTACCCAAAATTGATGCGCTACAAAATTGTGCTGCACACCCTTTACATTGGTTATCCACTTTGATTAGTTTAGTCAATCCCCATGTATTTGCATGATGGTGGTTAATAAGACACCATATATTTCTCTTCAATTTGTGAAAACAATTAAGATAGAATCTATTAGAATCATCATCTGTTGTAGGGGTTTTTCCTTGCAATTAGTGATAGAAGTTACTGGGGCAAGTTTTGAGGATACAATGAATACCATATAGCACGAAACCTAGTGAAAGCAAAGGTTTGGATGGATGAATTGTTATTCTGGTATTCTCAATGATGTTTATGGTTGCAGGGATTGTAGTATGTTGGCCATTTGATTATTATGGATTTTAAGAACTATGTTATCAAATGGCGGCGCCATGGCCGCTATGGCAGATATAAATAGCGGTTTTTAGGCTCGCCGAAATGGTAAATATTGACCGATATTGCGGGTTTTTCTGCCATAATCTGCTATAACGGCGCTGCAAAGTCGCTGGTATGGTGGGGTTTTGGGTCACTGCCATGGGCAGCCATCAACAACACTGGTTAAGAACTTTATTAACCTTGTGTGTTTTGCCCTTATCTTTGTTTGTATCAACAGTAAATTGCTCCTTCCTAGTTTGGAATTCTAGATGATAAATATATTTGAATACTGTGCTTGCTCTTACAACCACTATTTTTATTTTAATGTTTCGTTCTTCCTTTGCAGAAAAAAATGGAGGAAACTATTGAGTGCCACATAAAATATCCAAGTTTTGAGGTCCGTGGGTCTTAATTCATTAATGCTGCTTTTGTATTGTTGCATTTCTTTATCTTTTATGAAAAATCCATTTATGTCTCTCAAAACAGTATTGTATTTACTATTTAACTTTGAGTCTTACATAAGAGGCCCATGGGGAAACATTCAGTTCGTTATTGTATTGTATCCATTTTTTTTTTGTACGGAAGATAATATTCAACCATTCTCTTTCGAAAATTCCATGAAAAAAGAGTGGTGATTCAAGCTAACAATGACCATGAGATACTTCAACAATTTTCATGGAATTTTTGAAAGAGAATGGTCGAATCTATTCTCTTTCGTAAAAAAAAAGTCTTCCATTATTATACATATTATGATCAATCATATTTGAATAATAGATGTTTTAAATATAAACTTATAGTTATCAAAATTAGTGAAATTGTGATGTAAGAGAATGTGTTTTCGAAAATATATCTCATTAGGAAATAAATTGTATTTATTAAAAAGAAAAAAATTAACAGTTAAATGAATAAATATAACTGTTTCAAAATTTGCAAGTTGACATCCCTTGTACATTAGATTAATTTGCAAGTTTCAAAATTACCAAAATTTGTTGGTTATGTTTTAAAAAAACTGACCTTTATAAAGTTCAAATAGAAGATCTACAATTAGGGTACTCAATTCTGTCTTGATCTTCTATGTGTATATATGTTTGCAAGTGAGTTTCAGCCACCACTTCTGCAAGTCTGATTGTAGTTCACCTGGTTACACAAGCTACATGCTGTAGCTTCTAAAGGAACACCTATGAGTTTTGCTTATTTTACTTTACAATGAAATATGTTTAGTTAAAAGCTTCATATTCCAAATTATGTCTTTTTTTCTTTTTTGCTACAGGGTGCTTTATCAGTACCTTGGAGGGCACTTCACAGGAGAATGTCAAAGCTGTACTTTGCAATGAGAGGTTTGTTAACTATGTAGCTTTTATTTTTAGTGAATTAAATACGTGAAATTAGGAAAAAAAATTATTCAAATCAATTATCAGCTATGAGGTCGAACTTTTATTTGAAGGTGTCTGCACAGGGATTTAATTGATTAGGTCTTTCAAGTACGTTAAACAAGACACCTTCAAATAAAAGTAAGAGTATTCATGGGTTGGTTCAGCTCTATTAAGATTAAAGTAAGAGTATTTGAAATGTATCAATTGCATTTACACGATTGTTCTTTCAATAGACTAATGTACAATTAACAACATCATTTCATGTCACAGTAATAGAGAAGTTTGAAGAGGCTGAAGGACGCAGTGCGGGAGATGTTTCGGAAGCAGATCTTTCCGATGTTCTCAAGCTTAAAAAGGAACTTTGTACTGCACAAGTATGCTTTCTGGAATTAGTTATTCATATTTTTAGAGTTAATTACTTTATTCATCTGATCCTTCTGTTTACGTTACAGTCTCTCAATGAATCTCATGTTCCCGACATTCTTCTAGAAAGATTGGTAGCGGATACAGCTGAATTTCCTCCAGTCTGTGCTGTTATTGGGGGAATCCTTGGACAGGTATTTTATCATCTATTATGGTTTACAAGATGAGATGTCTTGCAATAGTTACTAAACCAGATTTACTACTGTAACATCACAGGAGGTTATCAAAGCTATTTCTGGAAAAGGGGACCCCATAAAAAACTTTTTCTATTTTGACGCTTCTGATGGAAAGGGTGTTATAGAAGACATATCTGATTCAAACGTTGGAAAGTAGCTTCTCTGGTCATTGTTTCTCATGAGTCACTGGCAATCGTGGTTGTGAATATGGAACCTTTTGCCGCATTAACTGCTAATTTATAGTTTAGCAGTTCCTTATCTGTTTTAGCCGTTGGCAATTTAGCATCAGAAATGTTTTGAAATGTAGACACTGAAACGTACTATGCTTCCGTTCAAAGCCATCTTCGAAGTTGCAAAGCTTCATGATGGTTAGGAAAAAAGCTCAACGTGTTTATATCCTGGGTTCTCTAGTTGGTAAACCTGTTAATTGAACTTCTACAATGATGATTTTTACTATAGTTGAGCTGATAACATCTTTAGTAGGATTTTTATCCTAAAACTACACTTACATGAATACTATATATCAGCTACTCATCTTTTATCATTTGCAAATTGAGATAATACACATGAAACCATATAGCCAGGGTGAATAATACATATAGTTTTAAAACATCATATTCAGACAACGTTACATTGGAGTTACATTATTTAGTTGATTGCTTGTAATAAAGCTTCTCAAGATCTGGTCAAAGCTTTCAGCTGGCTTCTCGACAGGGTGAACATGCATCCCTTCATAAGTTGTTTCCACGATCTGCTCGTCTTTGGAATGTCTTTGGATTTGTTTTCTTACATTGCATCCTCGATAAGAGCATTTATAGTAACTCCTGAATTTGAGACAAAAAGATGACACAATTCAGATAGTTTTCTTGGTGCTGAAAAAAATGTAGAAGTAAATATGCATTCAAATTCAAACTATGAAAGAATGAGTCAAACCTGGGGAATTTGCTATTTTTCACCAACTTTTCCCCATACTTTCTCCACCTGAACCCATCGTCTAGTATATCAATCTGACTCCTTGTTTGAAATATATATTTGTGTTTCATGATTTCCTTGCCTCTTCTCTTGCTTAATGTCTCCTTCCTTTTAGATTTTAGAAATTCTTCATTTTGAACATGAACATTAGCTTCAAAAGGAGAAGCATCAAGTGAAGATGAGATAGACAATAACTCTTCATGTTTCTCCATTGATATAGACTTTTGAGGTAGCACTTTAGAACGGACTATAACTTAAATCATGCATGTGTTATATATAATATGGAAAAATTATGAAGGATGCATGCATTTTCTAAAGACATGAAACATGAGGGCGGCAAGAATGTCAACATGTTTGGTCAAGGCCAAATTTATACTACGACTAAAGATAAACTGATTCATGAAATCAACTGCACGAGAAGAATGTATATACATAACAACTATGCTTGTATAAGATGGATGGGGTTGCCGTGACGGAATCTAATTTTCTGTGCTTTTTTAATTTAATTTTGTACATTGGTTTTGTTTTAATTTCAATAAATGACGTGAGAGTTTCGAGAATAGGAAAAAAATTGCTGTATTAATAGTATTTAATCACAAACATGAGACACAACATGGAGATGGCTTCGGGAAGGTTGTTAAACCATTGTGGCAGACATTTGAAGACTCCTTAATAAGTACCACATAGCCAGTTTCCATGAAATTGCTTGTGAAAAGTATATTAGCAATTTGTCCAATAACTAATATATAATACAGAAATAACTAATATTTAAAAATTTCTTAATTAGTCACACACCACATAAAAATACCAAAATGTTTTCAATTTTCGAAGATGTATATTCAGACACATCTAATACACACGTTGAAGATGTATATTCAGACACATCTAATACACACTCAACGTAGGTCATTATAAATGACACCATATAAGTTGAGTTTTTTTAATACCAGAGATATATCTTTGAAATTTTTCAAAAAATATATTCATAATTGATCGGTTCAGTAAAATTCTAAAGATACATCTTCAAAAGTTTGGGTAGGATTTTGAAATTTGTTGTCACCTTTGCTTGTCAGATATTTTCGGAGATACATCTCTAGAATAATATGATAAAACATACAGCTGCATGACACATAATCATTGCTGTTTTTCTTTACAAACCCTCGTCAAAATCTTTTTCATTCTCAATCCACATTTTCACTCCAAATCTCCAATCTTGTGGATCATAACACCAAAGGAGAAAAAGAAATTAGAATTTCAGATAAAAATAATTTATTTCAAGCTGCATTGTTCACACTAATCTTGTTTTTTGTCTGAAAAAAATGTGTTTTTTTAAAAATGTATCTCCGAAATGAGTATGAACTTTTTCAAAAATGTATTTCTGATATCTGTCTGTGTTCATTTTCTAATTTTATTTTTAGCAGTAGCACTTATTTACTATTTAGTGGTAATTTCTTTCATTAGATATGGTGCACCCCGATGTTTTTCTCAAACAAGTTAAGTCTCTGAATGTCAAAGGTGTTGTTATGAATGCGGTAGATGTTAGCAACCAATTTAAAAATGAGCAAGAGTTTGAATCTCGTGATCAAACGGTTCAATGGATTCGTATAGAGGCCTCTAAACTGAGATTTGGCGTGGTTATCAGAAGGTCCGATAATGGTTCAGATAGAAATGCGCTTTTGTGACAATGACGTGCAAAAAAAGCAGAAAATATAACTTCCTCTCCAGAATTTTAAAGAGATGACACCGGTTCAAGAAAATGTGAGTGTCCCTTTAAGATATGTGGTTACATGTTGGCAAACAAAAACTAGAGATTTAATTTCATATGTGGTTTTCATAACCATGATTTGTGTGAAAAGTTAGCCGACCATCCAATTATGTGTTGGCTCATGCTGGAAGAGAAGGAATATGTTGCTGACATGACATTGAATTTGGTTCAACTGAAAAATATATTTATAACATTGAAACAGAAAATATCCGAAAATATATCAAATATTAAGCAAGTGTATAATATTCGGTACCAAATTATCAAGGAACTTAGGGGGATAGATCTGAAATGCAACAACTTTTGAAATTGTTGGATAATAACAGTTACGTGTCTATGTACCGAACGCACCAGGATGAAGTTACTCTTAAAGATATGTTTTGGACTCATCTTGATTCTATAAAGTTGCTCAACACGTTTCCAACTATGCTCATACTTGATTCAACTTACAAGACCAACAAGTATAGACTTCCATTATTAGAGATGGTTGGTGTTACCTCAACTGAGAAGACATATTATGTCGGGTTTGCATTTCTAGAGAGCGAGAAAGAGGAGAATGTTACTTGAGCCTTAGAGGTGTGTCGAACAATGTTGAAGGATCAAGGTGAGATGCCTAAAGTGATTGTTCTTGACCACGATACCGCCTTGATGAATTCAGTTGTAAAGATATTTTCTACTTCTTATGTATTACTTTGTAGGTATCACATAATAAAGAATGCGAGAAGTTGGGTTAAACTCGGGGTATGGACAAAACAAATAGATTCCGAAGATGGAAAAATGGTGAAGGTGGGTGTGGTTCTGGAAAAAATAATGGATCCATGGAATCATATAGTAAATTCTTCCGGAAAAGAATTATATGACGATTCCATTATGCATTTCAGGAAAGTGTGTGAAAAGTATCCTGATTTGTTGAAATATGTTGAAAGCACAATTCTTGACTAGGTGAAAGAGAAAATTGTTTGTGCTTGGACTGATATGGTTCGACACCTTGGAAATACAACAACTAACCGAGTTGAGTCCGTCCATGCTACTTTGAAAAATTAGTTGGAAAATAGAAAGGGCGATTTTCGTAGAGATTGAGACTCCGTTAACCAAATGATTTAAATCAGCACAATGAGATACATACATAATTTGGTCGAAGCATCGCATACTACTACGAAAAACATATACAACAACAGTTGGAAAAAGGATAATATCACGTGCGACATGACGTTGTTACGTAGGGTGTGGTTGTATATGCGCTACTTACAATCACGGTCTTATGACCGTTGTAGAAAACCTGAAAGAATGCTATATATAATCACAGTTGCACTAACTAACCATTGTAATAATAAAGTCACAGGTTCGATTCTCGCCAACACATCTTTTGGTGTAATATATTATTCTGGACAACGTTCACTATACAACCACTGTCATATACTATAACCGTCGTTAAATAATATTCTTTTTTTAAAACCATTTTTCTGCATTTTGAAAATTTTCTATTTTTTAACCTGTATTTTTTTTGAACCATATCAGAACAAAAACATCAATTGTATCATAATGAAGTACTGTATTGTATTACATCGATTAAATCCATATATTGTATTAAGAACCAAATATTGTATATGTATTACATCAAATGAAAAATGGCACAAAACAACCTACAAACTTTATATAACATCACATAATTGTATCTTATAGTGTTTTATTTCTTTGTCTCTTGGTGTCTTATCTCTTGGTGTATTTACTTTAAACACCTACAATTTCAAATAATCTTACTTGTTAGTAAATATACTTAGAAATAATGACTTACATTAATTAAATTATGAATAAAGAATAAAATACTAATTACTTGTTAATTTTTCCATATGTCTTCATTATGATCGATACGAATAACATGCACATCATCTCTATCAACTTCATCATAAGTGGTAGGCACTTTTGTTGTGTTAGAAGGAACATAAGGAATGTCAAAACTTTCATCACTACAAACTTTTTTTTTCCTTTTTATAAAGAGTGTAACAAGTCGGAGACAGATAAGTTCTTTTCCCTTTTTCTATTGGAGTCAATTATTTTCGTATATCCATCGCCTCCATATCGAGACGAGATTGCTTATTATCTTTATTATTTCCTGGAATGTTTAGAAGTGTTCCAATCAAACTATCACACACATTTTTCTACACATGCATCACATCAAGACAATGCTTTACATCGAGACTTGACCAATATGGAAGATCAAAGAACACAAACCTCTTTTTCCATATATTTTTCTCAACAACTTGCCCTTTTTATTTTCATCTCTTTCCAAGGATAACATTAATGTGTTTCCATCGTTCATAAACTTCATCCTCGGTTAAAGGTTTAGGAGCGATATCAAACTTCTGCTCTCCATTAAAAGCCTTCCGCAATCTACGATAAGAATGATCGGGTTTTAGAAATTTGTGATGCCCAAGGTAAACAATATTTTTTCCCCAACTCAAGTTGGTTATAACATGTATCAGATTCACAAATAGGACACACTTTATGTCCTTTGACACTATGTCCAGCCAAATTACCATATGCAGGAAAGTCGTTGATTATTCAAAATAACATTGCATGCATCTTAAACTTTTCACCAGAATATGCATCATCAACTTCAACGCATTCCTCCCACAAAAGTCTTAGATCTTCAATTAATGGACTTAGATAAACATCTATGTTGTTTCCAGGTTGTCGTGGTCCAAAAATCATCATACTTAACAACATATAGTTACGCTTCATGCACAACCAAGGAGATAAGTTGTAAATCGTGAGAAGAACATGTCACAAAGAATGGTTAGTACTCATATTACCAAAGGGGTTCATTCCATCGTTGGCAAGCCCAATCCTAAGGTTTCTTAGCTCAGTGCCAAAATCCTGAAACAACGAATCAATTTTCTTCCATTGCAAAGAATCAGCTACATGGCGTATGTTTCCATCATATTTTCTTTCATCTGCATGCCATCTAATATTCTTTGCGTCATCCGCATTAACAAAAAGTCTCTTGATTCTTAAAATTATTGGCAAGTACCATAACACTTTAGCAGGAGGCCTTTTCCTACTAACATTATCATTATCATTGTCATCACCATTGTTGTCCTTCAACTTGTAACGCGACACCCCACATTCCAGACATTGATCCAAATTTTCATACTATTTCCTATATAATATGTAGTCATTAGGGCATATATGTATTTTGATATACTCCAAACCCAACATACATAATATCTTTTTGGCTTCATAACAATGATCAGGCAAATTGTTATCTTCTGGTAGCATTTGTTTTAGCAAATTAAGCAATTCCGTGAAACTCTTATCCGACCACCCATTTTTTGCTTTTAGATTAAACAATTTTTTAACCGCAGAAAATCATGTAAAAATTGTGAACCCCTTATATTAAGGGGTTTACTTATCACTACATAAAGTATCATAACTATGAGCTTTCTTAAA